CGGAGAAAATGGCAGAGGAGGTAGATGCGAGTGTTGTCGGAGGAGAAGAAGAGAGGAGGTGGAGAGAGAATTGAAGCTGCTAATTCTCAAGGTAGAAAGGTAGTTTTAAAAGGAAAAGGTTTAGTGACGGTCGCGCCCGTCACTACACCCGTCGCTAATAGTATTTTTGAAATCAAAATTTCACTCGTTTCCCATCAACGGTTTGATTTTACCGATGGTCTTTAGACCGTCACTAAAATATTTTTTGCAACGGTTATCTTTGGATAAAACAATTGCAAAAATTGGTTTTAATAGTTATTTATTTTCGATTATTTTTTTAGCAAGGGTTTAGCGACGGTCCGGGACCATCGCTAAACCTAGTTATTTTGTAACGGTTTTTTATTAAAAAATCGTTGCTAATCGAAAATTTTCTTTTCCATTCTTCTGATTTTTAGAAACGGTTTGCGACGATACTGAGACCGTTGCTAAACCGAATATTTTTACAACGGTATTTTATTTAAAAACCATTGGTAATCGCAAATTGTTTTTTTTTTCAAATAATCTCATTTTAGAAACGGTTTAGCGATGGTACGTACGGACCATCGCTAAACATAGGTTTTTTGCAATGGTTTTTTACCAAAAAGCTGTTGCTAATCTATTTTTTAAGTTTAGCAAGGGTTTAGTAAGCTGTTCAAGACCGTTGCTAGACCAAATTGTTTTTTTGAAATGGTTTTTTATTAAAAAACCGTTGCTAATCATCCTTATTGTTTTTTTTCTCACGTAAGCAATGGTTTAGCGATAGTTTTGAGACCGTCGCTAAACTTGCAACAATTTTTTTCATAAAAACCGTCGCAAAAACGATCTACATGTGGAAAAAAAATTAAACCCGTGAAGTGAGCAACGGTTTGGTTAGACCATTGTAAAAAAAGGTCGCAATGGGAATTTTAGTAACCGTTTTTTGGACCGTCGCTAAATCTCTTAAAACCGTTACAAATTTTGAAAATATGCAACGGTTTATTGACCGTCGGTAAATACCCGTCGCAAATCCATCTTTTTGTTGTAGTGGATTAACATGAGTGAAAGGAGTTCTAGTTGTAATTTTTGTTTCGAGTTTTTGTGTATATAGAAAAATCTTTTGATAGTTGTATACATGTTGTATATCCAATCAAACAGTGATGGATTAGTTTGTATTTTTGAATCTAAAATACTTTGAGAATTCAAAAACAAAAAAGAAGAAGAAGAAGTCATGCCTAAAGATGTGAGTTTTATTACATTAATGTAAAACTGAAGCAGTATATAGAGGTGGATTGTCAGGTAGACTGCTGCATCGATATCATATTGGGCGTGATGATATGGGATGTTGTTGACATGTATATTCCAAATGATTTGCAATATGATCGGACCAAGATATTAATTCGGTTTCAATGTTACATCAAAAAGTGGTTGAGATGCTTTTTATAAAAACGTTAAAATGATTAAGACTCTTTTAATTTAATAAGTTTTTTAAATTTGTGGTTATTAAATTAATTAATGAAATATTAAAATTGAAATGGAAAGCATTAATAATTATATATCGATTTATAAATTAATATATCTTTTTTTATAGCTGGAGCATTATGGAGACAATTGAAAATTGACTAGGTGTGAGAAATAGCCCAATCACTTCACGAGTCATATGATTGATTCAAGGAAAAATTGACTATCCAAACATTATTTTATCTATAAAGTAATCCCTGGTTTAATGAATGATAATCAATAAATTAACAAGACAATTGCAATTCTAATTGATAAATGGAAAATGGAAAAGACCAAATTAAGTGTTAAATTTCTCTATGGGTATATAAAGGACCCACGGACTGTAGCAATAAAATAAAATGTAGCTAAGGGCTATTTGAGAAAATTTAATTTCTTTTTTTCCTTCTTTTTAAACCTTTTAAGTCTTTTTTATTCAAACATTAATAAAAATTTAAATTGTAAAATAACCCCCTTAAATTGATTGAGAAAACAAATACCTTTTTGAATTAAATTTTTTTTAATTTTGTCCTTCAAACAATATGATCATTTTTATTTTGTCCATTATTTTAGAATTTTATTGAGAAATTGATATAAAAACCCTTTAAAATCCTCTCAATTTTTTTCTTTTCTCTATCCGTAAATATATTTTCCCAAGTTGATAACGAAAAAATAGAAATTGAAAGAATTTTTATGAGATTTCCCTTCAATTTTTAATAAAATCATAATAAAAGGAACAAATTTAAAAATTCGTATTGTTTTGGTTCAGGAAGTATTTATGTATTCGTCATGTTTAGAGAATATTTTATAATTTAACTTTAATAAAAAGATGTTTAGTAAAATTCTAACAAACTAATGAAGGAGGCGTTTGCTGAAATTTGAAAAGTTGTTTTATGATAAACTTATATTTAAATAACATAGTTGTATCATTAAAACACTTATTACCAAATATTATTATATATAACCACAGCCACACCATCGCTAACAACTCCACTCACATCAAAAGTTACAATCATATCAAACCAAAAAAAAAAAAAAAAATCCTAAACAAGAAACCCTAGAAGAGTTCCGCTTGAAGATCGGCTATATAGCTAATAAATGTCATGCATACGCGGAATGATTAGCACAATAACGGATATAAAAAATGTAAATAAATAATAGATTAATTATCAATAATAACACTATTGATAGGAAATCAATCAAACAAAAAATAAAATAAAAAAACAATAATCAATTACACGATATAAGATTTACGTAGTTCAATAATTTATTTGATCTAAGATTGTAATAAAATTTCTTATTAGATTTTTCAACTTAGTCACAAATATAAATGGTAATGTCAATATTCATAGTATGAGCAATTAGGATTATAATAATAAAAAATTACAAATCCTATACACCTGAATCAATAGTTTCATAGATTTTTTGAAACTCCACCCCGAACCTTCACAAAAGACCTTGTTCTCTTGATCTCATTTGTTAATCGACTAGTAAGATTGTCGTGTTGGTTTTGTATGAGCGTATTTAGTTACAAATTACATGTTCGTCAATCTTTATAATTTAAAAATTATCTCCAAATGCATAATATTAAATGGGAAAAAAGAAGTTAAAACAAAAATTAGATGTATAAAAATTATCCTATACAAAAAGCACCTGCATGCGCAATGCAGGTGTGTATATGTATATATTAGTGTTATCAAAACCGGCCTAAAATGACCGGTTTATCAATCCTGGTGAAATGATTATCATAATCAACCGTCCAGATCAAACCATTTTTTTCCCTGTTCAAAACAGATCCAGACTTAGACAGAAACCTACTGGCTCGATCTGGTCAAAGTTCATTGGTTTATATTTATCTATTATTACTTTTCATTGTTTCCACACTCATCTTCTAATCAAGAACAATTACACTGCAACAACAGGATTGTCCTAACCCTGATCTGGAAAATTCTAACTGTTCGTTAATTCCGATTGTACTTTGGAAATTCTGGTAGTTGTTGAATAAGCCACTCACTAGTTCAAGCAGAGGCAGCCAACCAAACCAAGCCATCCCCTTTTTCCATGCCCCAAAGTCCCAAAAAAGCATTATTTTTTTAAGTATTTTGCATCTGCACGCTCGCTTTCTTGGGCAGATATGTGGTTTGGCATTTTGTGAAGATGTTTTATATACAAGATTGGTTTGATTCTCTTGTCACGAATCTCTACACTGCATTATTTTACCCGAGTCCATGTGTTTCCAAGTCGCCGTGCTTGTCATTAAGACAAACTAGGTTATTTAAGAGGCTGACAAGTACAACCAAATTGTTAGTTTGAGCCCTTCTTTTTTTTCCCTTGGTTTCAATTTGTTTGAACGTTGAACTTTGAACTTCTGCTTCAAGACAACTATATTTGACAGTAACCAAACAGAAAAGTAACGTGATATATCTCCCTATTTGGTTGAAGCAAAGAATAGTTGTTTAAAATGTTTCCTTTATTTTTATTTTTATTTTTTCTTTTTCTTTATGATGTGGAACTATAGCTGTCACCAAAGAGACACTCTCATCTACCTATTTTCCAATACTTGGCGTATATGTCTTGGACGGGTACAGTATAGTCTACCCCAATGGGCCAAGTATATGGTCCCTAATTAAATACATTTCGATCAAGTGGTCCTACTGGTTCCTATTTGTTTCATTTTAACCCTTGTACTTTCATTCTAGGCAGAAAAACCAAAGCAGTCATATATGTTCGCGGTATACAACTTACGTTCATCATGTGCATACTACATGTAACGATGTGGGTCATAAATAAATGGATGAGGGATCCGTTTGTGGCTAGAAAATTGAGAACGTGAGGGTTGGCAGGCCCAAAGTTGTTGGCAGTATAAGGGTTAAACTGACCAAAGTATAAAACTTGGAGGACCATTCGATGCTCAACGTCTGACCACCAAAAACGGGAGTTGTTAACCGTACGTCGGCAAGAAGTACTATCCATGGATGATGGGTCCTGACTATTTAAACCATTTGAACTTTTCCACTGTCATGATTGTAATCCTTACAGTGACAAATGATAATAGGTGGAGAAAGAAACATAAAACGAATAATGGGACTGATGCATGGTTATAAGTTTCTTGTTTTGGTATCCCATATACAGTTTCCATGCCATCTTTTTGAAAAAGGAAAAAGAAAAAGAAAAAAGAAAAAAAGAGGGCAAAGTTATAGAAATACCCCCTCCTCCTTCCCCTCCAATTTTTGAAAGAGGAACTCTTGTTTACTTTAGGTTGTCAACTACAAGTCTTCAGGTCCACTGCATGCCTAAAAGTCAACAACCAGACTTTTTCTTGGTTGGTTAGGCAGCATATGTGGTATTTACTTCAACATAAATGTAGTCTTTTGGACTTGAGGTTGGGTAGGATTGCTCCAAAACTCTTCTTGCATCTATAGCACTAGTATCCCTCTCATCAAATTTGAAAAACCACTACCTTTCTCTATTTTTTTCCCCTACCTCCTCTGCTTCTGTGGATGGAAAGTATGGACCGCCGCCGCCGCCGGAAACAAGCTAAAACTCACCATTCTGAGTCTGAAGGTTAGTTAAGTTTTTCTTCTCTTTGCTGAAAAGCTATAGTTTTCAACCTTTTCTGGCCCTTAAAGAGGGGCCTAATTTCTTTGTAGGGTCTATGCATTCTGAGATAACTCGCTGTTAATTTCTTCGTCTTCTTTTTTTATGCAGAGGTCAGTAGTATTGAATGGGAGTTTATAAACATGAGTGACCAAGAGGAAGACCTCATTTACAGAATGTATAGGCTTGTCGGTGAAAGGTAAGCTATCATATTCTGCTCATGGCTTTCTTTTCTATTATCTTCAACTGGTTTTTATCATTTTTGGTTTGTAAACAATCTATTAGTTTTTCATTTTCGGCCTCCAGAGTGTGGTTTTTGCAGAACCAAAACTCTAATTTGCTCTTATCCCCCACACCCAACCACCCCCCCCCCCCCCCCCCAAAAAAAAAAAAAAAAAAACTCCAATTTGCTGCTCATTAATTAATTATGACGGTAGGTACTGCAAAAACGAAATCATTCTACTAGTAGTACTTATGGAATTCCCTTTTATCAAGGAGAAGGTAAAAAAGAAATGGCAGCTTTATAGCAGAAAGTTTTGCCTGCTATTTTTTTGTCTTGTCATTCAATTTACTCTCTTTTGGATTTGTACTGTGGTAAAAGAATGAAGTCATTTACGGCTTCTGAACCCACCGTTCATTTTTGTTTCTTTTAGTTTAAATCAACACAGTAATATCCCTAGCACATAGCTGCCTTGTCCAAAGACCTTGCCACTGCTATGTATTAAATGACCAGACCAACCGCTGGATTAACAAGAAAATGCCTTCTGCACCTTCTTGCATACCAAAATTTCCTAGCATTTTATCCTGTCATACTCAAGAACTTGTCTGGTCTTTCTTTCAACCTTAATCCTTTCAACAATGCACGTTAACATCTGTATAACTCATGGTAATGTTTAGACTGACTGATTCTTAATATCATAAAATGTGGCTAATCTGCAGGTGGGATTTGATAGCTGGAAGGATTCCAGGCCGAAAAGCAGAGGAAATAGAGAGGTTTTGGATAATGAAACACCGCGAAGGTTTTGCTGAGAAAAGAAAATTGCATAACAAAGTGAAGTCTAGGACTTTTAGTTAAGCTAGCATTAACTAACAATGGTTTTCAATTTATTTTGTTGATTGTTTCCTCTTGTATTTGTTTCTTGTTGTTTGGCTTCTAAAATCTGTGCAGGGATTTGTTTAGTTTCTTTGTCAGTGGAATTAATTAACAGAACTATTCTTCTGAAACATCAATCCTTCTATTGGTCCGCTCATTTGAGTAGGAGCAAACGCAGGCATTGCCTTCAAATTCAAGACGCATATTCATGAAATGCTCTTCAGAATTTGAAATTGAGAAAAAAATACAATGTGGTTCCCATCTCAAGATTAAAGAGTTTTTAATTCATGTGTATATAAATAATCATTTTCATGTTGTCCAGAGCTGTTCAGCACCCTCCAAATGCACCAAAAGTCTACTTAGATTGCTTATAAATATCAACAAATAAATGTATAACAATTAGCTGAGGCCATGATAACTTCGCAAGAGTCATTGTCCTAGAACTGTGAAGCAAATCCCACCCTATCACCAAACCATTATTATTAAAAAAAAAAAAAAAAGAACTGAGACGTTTATTGTTTAATTACTGTACGTATGGACTGAAATCAGTGTACTATTTGCTCCTATTGCATGCATCTCAACCGTCCTTTCTATTCTGTATTTGTTTTGGCTTCGTTGCTGCCGCTGCTAATAATTTTCCCGTTATTTCACTCTTTCTCCCTCTCAAAGCCTAACTAATGCCCTTTCTTTTTACCTTTATTTACGATTGTGCCATTTCGTGCTCTTAGGAACTTACCTTAATGCCCTCGTTTTTAATCATTTGTTGGCTGCATTTTCTATCCTGTTTTGTAAGTTCGATTATTTCTTGCTCATTCTATTTAACGGAGCACAATGACGTTGCTACACCGTTTGTTTTAAAAACTTATTATTCCCTCATTTTTATACCCAAAGTCCCTCTATTATTAGGGATTGATTAATTATGTCCTTTCACTACTAATATGATTATTAGAGTGTCTTTCCAATGTATTCTATTTACAATTGAGTTTTTTTTTGTCTAAAATGCTATTAAAATTAATTTATTGACTCACAAATTGAAAATAAAAAAAATTAAAAAAGAAATTACCACAATGAAATGACATTTGAAAAATTAAAAGTAATTTTTAAAAAATTTATTAATAGAGAGATTCATCTTGATTTTTTTAATTTTTTAATTTTAGGAAAAAAATAGGAAACATGTCCCATATGTGATGAGTCAAAAAAATTTGACTATAAGTAGAGTGATTTATTTGGATTTTTTTACTTTTTTAATTATTTTTTCATTTTTTCTAATTACTGAAATGTTTTAAAAATTAATTTCATTTTCAAGCATGTTTTGCTTTTAGAAATTGAAAATCATATGAACACGTGTTGCATGTATACTGATTTAGCGATTTTTTGTTGTACCTATATATATATATATATATATATATATACTACTTTTTCCATATATGAAAAATGTAAAAAAAAATAATAATAAGTCCAAGTAAATCCCTCTACTAATAATTTAAATTTTTATAACTTTTTTTTACTCTTATTTTACAAGTGTTAATTTTTATTTTTTTCCTTTTCTTTTAAGCTTCTATTTTTTAAAATAAAATATCATTTTTTTGAAATTAAAAAAAAAACTTAAACATATGGTGAAGTTACTATTAAGAAGAAAGCTAAAAGAACTAGGGTGTTTAATCACTGTTTATTTACTGTAGATTTACAATTTTTAACATTTCGATCCTTGATGTTTTTGAAAGTTTTATTTCGATTCACATCTTCATTTACTAATATATTTTGATCCCTAATGTAAAAAGGAGGGAAGAAAGAAGAGAGAGACGGAGGGGAGAGAGTGCCAACCAAGCTTATTTAAGCCACTTTGACCGACGAAACTCTATTAGATTTTTTTATCTTTGAGAAATGAGTTTGTCCATAGTGGTTTCAACCCATCAAATAATTGAAGAAAGTAAATCGAAGCCAAAAAAGGAAAAAAAAATTATGATTTGATTATGTATTTTTTTTTAATGTGCATTAAATGATTTTTTAGGTCTTAGAAGTGTTTTTTAACTTTATTTCGATCATTTAGAGGTGCTTAAAAAAAATAATGCAAGAATTGAGTTTCTCGGGATATAAAACTTGTCCTATAATTTTCCAACGAAGCTTCAGATGAGCTTGAGTTCATCAAATGTGGTAGGTTTTTTTTTTTTTTATAGCTAACCAACGACCCAAGCGCACAAGCCTAAGCGGCGTTGCTTGGCCGTAAAGGCTCGACCAACCGAGCCCAATCGGGCCGAACTAGCCTAGTGCTCGGGCTCGCACAAGCAACCCCAACAAGTGAGCCTAGCCTTTTTTTTTTTTTTTTTTGCTTTTTCTTCCAATAATTCATTTTTATATATTTTTTATCATGAAATTATGTGTGAAAAATATAAAAAATAGATCATGGTTTGACGAGATGATAAAATATATATCAAATTATATTACTCTTATTGTTTAATATTTATTTCTTAAATTATTTGTTTCTTATTAAAATTATTATCAAATTAATTTTTTGATATAATTTTATTTATTAATAAATTTATTTTTTTATATATGAATTTTGGAATAAAATTTTAAAACATGAGTGTTTTACTTTTTTAAATATATTATTATAATTTATAGGATGAATTATTTTTATGATTTTTAAATTCGAATATATATATATATATATATATATATATATATATATAGAGAGAGAGAGAGAGAGAGAGAGAGAGAGAGAGAGAGAGAGATAAGCGTGTTTTTGATAATTTGACTCTGTTTTAAAAAAATTAATAATCGGTTAAAAAATAAAGAATTCACAAGTTTTATTTTTTTTAATATATATAATCGAATTTATTGGAACCAATTTTGAAGTAGTTTTTATTTTAATCTATTGACTTCAATGTATTTCATACAATTTAAGTGGATTTTTTTGTATATTTTTTCTATTTATTTTGAATCTGTTAAGTATGATATATATAGTTTTGTTAGAAATTAACTATTTATCTCGCATACATAATATTAATTATTTTTTATTTATTTTTTCATGTTCTAAAATTTATATTTTTAAATAAAATAATTTAAATAATGTTTTGAAAGAACCTTCCAATTATTCAAATATAATTTTTATGCTAATATTATTAAATATTTTTTAATAGATATCTATAAATCAATTGATTTTGCTCAAATCTTTTATTAATAGTTATATATAAAACTTCTACTCGCACTACACTATACGAATCATTAACCATACATATGTAACGGTTGTCCGGTTGCAACGTAACGCAGATATCTAACTAGTTTTCAGCTAAATAATTTAAAAGAAACCTCAATTTAACTCCTAACATATTAACTCATTATCAATTAAGTTCTAAACTTTTGAATTTTATCAATTTTTTTTCTAAATATAATCAACGTTAAATAGGCCTTAAACTGTCCTAAAAAATTTTAGTGTCACAACATATTAAATTTACCTTCACTAAACTAGTAAATTTTGGTGTTGAAATTATTTGTACGAGACTTATTTCAGCTTCTTAGCGTTAAGTTATGAAGACTGATGTAAATATATATATATAACTCATAATTTTGTATTGTGTGATTGTTTTTTGTTTTCTCTCTTCTATCTTTTTGGATGGATTCTTTTAATTGCTAGTTTACTGCTAACAATGGATGGACTGAGAGGTGACATTATCTAATGTTGATTATATTTGAGAAAACTTAATTAATAATGAGTATAATACATTAGAGGCTAAATTGAGGCTTTGACAATTTATTTATTTATTTATTTTTTTTTTGGTTTTCCCCTTCCCAACTCCCAGTTGAGCCAACCAACCAGTCTACAGAAATTTGACAAGAGATTTTGGTTCCTCAGAAAATACGAGCTAAATACAAAGTAATAACCTTTGGAAGTCCACTGAAAGTTACAGAAAATATTTCTGACGACCTGTTTGGAAGTCCACTGAAAGTTACAGAAAACATTTCTGACGACCTGTTTAGATGTGAATTCAGCCAATGAACTGGATTGTAGGGTCACTGTTTCCAGATGAGAAAGTAGTTGAACCAACGGTCAAAAGAATATGCAAAACATAATAAATGGATCAAAGCTCTCTTGAAGTTCAGTCTATCTGAAAATCAGTCACTAAACTTCTAATTTCAAATTTAATCTCTCTTAATTTAATTTTATTTTTTATAAAATTTAGTCCATTTTTTAATTTTATAAGAAAAAATATGGTCACCTAAATAGCCAATTCACCAGCCTGACCATAGCCCGGCCAGAGAGTACGATGACAGCGGAAACTACATCATGGTCTATGTTTTGTACTTTTACCAAAGCTTGAACTTTGCTTGAGCGACTGGAGTTACAGCAGCAAACCATAAGGCCAAGGAGCAGTGTACATTGCAGTTCAGGTTTGTAAAAACAGAATACAGTCAATTTTCTAAGAGGTTGAATCCATTTGTGAACTGTTAACGACATCCTTTTATTGTATAGGAGAAGCAATATTACATGTATATGTGGTAAATTTGAAATCTCAAGTTCTGTGAAAATATATATTACATGGAATGAGATCTTGTCTATATTTTCATGTGGTTAAAAATGACTATGATGCAGATAATTAGTATACAGCAATGGCTGGTGACGAGGGATCATCAAGAAGGAAAGGACCTGTTGAAGCAACCTTGCGATGCTGATCAATTCAGACAACGTAGCGGCGAAGATAATCCACCCTAGTTGGATGCTTGAGCTTCATGAGTGCCTTAACTTCGTGCTTCCTGACCATTTCTCTCGAGATATTTAAGTTCCCAGCAATCTCTCCTAATGTTCTATCCCCTTTACCATCAAGCCCGTATCTCTGTCGGACCACCAAGCTCTCCTTTGGTTTTAAAGAATCGAGCTGGAGAGGATTTTCAGAGATTAGATATTCATTTCTAAGTTCTAACAATGCGAATTTGAAACCATGCAAGTTAGTTCAACTTTTTCTGGGTTTTAGGTTCTTTCAACTGAGCGATATTCCTAGAAGCTTTTTCTACAACTACAAGAGCATAACGAATTAAATTTGCTTCTATATGACAAGAATTATATTTCTTTTGGTATAAAATGAAGTTAAAAGATCTAGGAAACTAATTCTTGTGAAATAAAATTTCTCTAGAGAACTACTAGCAAAAGGATTTTGAACTTTTTGACATTATGCAGAACATTGCGATCCTGATAAGATTCAATCAAAGATAAACAACTAAAGAGAGAAAGAAATGCAGTAAAAACTCTTAAGAAAGGAAAAACATGAGTGCTTACCACATCATCAAGAGCAAGCCTGAGAAGAGCTGATTGCCTCCGGTCATCACCTCCATCAACATCAGCAACTCCACTAATCAACTCTTCTTCTGTTGTTTTGTGTCTTGAATGGAGAGACAAAACAGGTTTTGAGGCCCTTGTCACTTCATGATACCTCTCGGGGGAGATCCCAACTTTTTCAATAATCTCTTCCTCTGTTGGTTTCCTTTTAAGTTGAAACCACAATTCAAGTTTTGCTTTCTGGATTTCTGATCGAATCTGAACAAGTTGAAGTTTGAATGTTAAAGCATGCTCCAGTGAAGCATCCAACACAAGCTGTTTAAATTGAAGTCCGAAGTCCTAATTCTGGAATGAATATATGAAACTTTTTCCATTCAACACTCACTAACCACAGCACATTATATGCAGAGTTAAAACTGACGAACTAAAACATGGCAAATTGAAACATTCCCAGTACAATGAGCATACAAATTGCTCTTTTGCTTGATTTAGTTATTACTTATTCTGGCTTGAGAAAATCCTAATATTAGGCTTATTATGGTGCTATCCTAGGCTTCCTGTTCTTTCTTGCCTTGCATAGTACTGACTAGTTCCAAATTTTAAATTGATTACAGTGCCATCTTTGAATTATGAATTTCTAACACTACCAAGAAAGCACCACTATCCCCACTCCTAGGAGAGAGAGAGCTTTGACATTTATTTGCAGCAAGAATCACAGGGATACATGTAAGTCATTGTGCTGTTCAGAGAGGAAGAAAACAAAGTTTATATGAAAAGAACATACCGATTCCAGGCCGAACGAAACACGCGTGAAGCTTGACAGTGTCATTGACCGTATGATGGCATGTCTAATCCAAAACAGCCCATAAGTGGAGAGCCGGAATCTCCTTTTGGGTTCAAAGCGATCAATTGCTGTAATAAGTCCCTTCACTCCCGCCTGACAAAGATCTTGAAATCTTGGCCCATTTGCAAAGTCTTGAAAATATTTGTTGATCACAAACAAAACAAGCCGGAGATTGTGCTGCAACAACATTGAGAATTAACTGTAAAATTTTTCTCCTCCCAAATCAAATAAGTCCACAGGAATCAGAAACGATACTAACAATGCTTTCTGACTTAAAGATGAAAGGGAAAAAAGTACTCAACAAGCATTATAATCCTGCATAATTTGCGCGATCTATCATTACTATGAGAGTCCATGTTTCCTTAGTAATTGAGTTGCTTCAATGCCGCCAGTAGGAAATAAATCGTTACCTTTATAAGCTTGTTCCTGGCAGCCCGACCGACCTCTATTTGTTTTCTTACTTGGAGCACATCCATATTTGTTGCCTCAGCTAATTCACTATCAGTTGGTTCTCTCCCCATATTTTCTTGCAAATGCTCTTTCAATTGAAGGAGTGCCTAATATAAAAGACATGGAACTAAGCACCAGAAAACTACCAATTCATGCAGCGAAAAAACACAAACTATTTGCAAAAGGTAAGGCAAGGATTAGTACTCACTTTCATAGGCTGCATCAACTTAAATAACCAGGTATGCTCTGCTGAAGTAAGGACTGGAGGAATCTTCATTTTTTTCCAGTCCAGGCTGACCAAATCAGTTGAAGCAGAATACTCCCTCACAAGTTCATCAATCTTTTCATTTTCATTCTTTCGATCTTTTCGCTTTCCAACAGAAGTCACCAATTTCTCGTCGTTCTTGATCCTCAATGCTTTTCGTTTCTCGAGACTCAATCGTTTAGCCTTCTTCGCCTGGTTCCTCACAATGATTTTACTAGTCCTACCCTCATCTTCCTCACCTTCACTAGTCTTCCTCTTCCTTTGCCTACGTCTCCTAATCACACCATTTACATCTTCCACATCAGAAGTATCAGTTACAGGGCTAAGCTTGTATATGTTTTCAAGTTTCGCGGCAGCTTCATTGTAATCCACATCCAATTCACATGGAGAAACTTCAGTGCGGACAGCTTTTAATCTATTAGGAGATTTTTGCTTTTACCAAGTCTCTTCTTCTCCTTCGGTGTTTCTATCGGCAATGGGATTTGATCGTGTGGTACAACCAAAGATGTTTTCTTGGATTTGTCTGCTTTAAATGCTACAATCAATGGCCTTTTAGCCGTAGATCTGTAAGTTGAAAATTTCGTGTTCAATCCTAGTGGTGTACGAGAAGCTGAGCTCGAAACACTAACAACTCCCATGCCAAGTTGTATTATCACAAGATTTTGGAAGTGTATGAGAATTTTCTCACTGCACAAACACTGCAAACAAATATGTCGCATTTAGTAAGAGATCATTTCTTCACTGGCCGGAACATATGCATACACACAAACACACAATTCGAATACCCACGTCCTTAATTTAGGCTAAATTGTTCAAATTTTCCTAACCAAATGGTGGCAGCATAGTTTCAACAAAAATAAAATCACTAATTGAGTGAAGCAACTAATTATTTTGTATGCATTATGGCTAGTTCTGCTTTGATCACAGACACCAACAAGAATATTAACCATCAAGAACCAAATTTCCTTGACATTCATATAAACTCCAACAAATTTTGACCACTCAAATTTCCGTAAGAAAAAAAATAGCAATAACTAAATAATTGCAAATCAAGAAATATAACCCCAGCTGAAAGGTCTCAGAATTTCCAACAAAATGTTCCAAATCACCATAAAACATCAGAAAAAACACCCCACTCCCCACCCGAGCTAAGCTTGCAAGGGATAATTCTTGTATATACAAAATACCATCGACATCATCACCGAGAAAACATTAAATACAGCAACAAATATTTTGAGGAAAAAAAAATCCCATAAAGAAACTACAAAGGTCAAAAACATTCTAAAACATAAAAATCTAAGCATACCTACGTGAATAGAGCAGTATAGAATCCTGTAAGAGTTGGTTGGCACAAAATTTTCCCGTCCAGTAACTTGACAAGCCTTGTTAGAAACACAAGCACACAGAAATCTTCTTAAACCTGTCGAATTTTAACAAAAGCACGTAAATTATGGTGTCCACCAGCTAATTTTCTTAATAATCAACGGCTAGAAAGTGCGGGTTGTTCTAATCAACTGTAGGAAAGTATCCAGCTAGGTACGTAGTGGGACAGGGGCAAGCAAAGTGAAGGGGCGATGTGGCGAGTGGTGAGACAGGAACTGAAATCTACAGTAGACTTACGTTACGTGGCAAGTTTGGAGTGGAAGACAAGATATTTTGTAAGAAGTTTAAGGATCATGTTCGTTACACGTGGGAGGTTTTATTTGGGGGAAGATGCTGACAAATTGTTGGTTGGACGTGGAACATTTGCGGTGGTCTAGGATGTCTCAACGTTTCTTAATTGTGACCATTTAAAAGAGTAAATTTTCAAATTTGGTAAGCAAATTAACATGTGTGTGAAGATTAAAAGACAATAAATCATTGTCGTTAGTATAATTTTGCAACATGTAAATTATGTACGTGGCCACTTAAATTCCTGAATTTTTCATCATTTTCATATATATATATATATATATGTGTGTGTGTGTGTGTGTGTGTAAATTATAAATTTATCTCTCTAGTGTTGAGAAATGAATTAATTAATTTTTTTATTTTAAAAATTAATTATTTAGTCTTATATTTTTAAATTCGTTTTATTTTTTTAGTTTATTTTGATTTTTAAAAAAAAAATATGAAAAGATTGATAAAAAAAAGTTTTATAAAATAAAATAATATTAAATTAAATATATTCAATTCTACAACAAAATACTAATTAATTTGTTTCTTTAAACAATCAATACTGCTTAACTTAAGAGAAATCAAGTCCAAAATAGAGTCTTCGATTGCATATTAGTTTAATTATGATATGGGAAATCTATTTGGTTTTTTTAGGTCGTAGATTACCTAAACAATAATTAACTAAAAGATTGTTCTACATCGTTTTAAGGTTTTTTTTAATGGAAATAAGATATGAAAAATGGTTTGTTTTTATTTATTTTCAATAAAATAAAAACTAGCATCAAGTTTTCAAACTGTTGAAAAAAAAAGGGTAGTTTTTAAAAGTTTTCAAAACTGGTTTTTTTACACTATCTGCCTGTGATTTAATAGCCATGTTGGGTTTGAGTTTAGAAAATGAATTTGAAACATGACCGAGACTTGGGATATGCAAAGGTGTATCAACATAGTTAAACGTGATAGGGTTGGGGACGCTCAAAATATACTAAGCACTGTGTCTGGAGAGAGATGGGTTGAGACAGATGTAAGACGCTCATAGGTTAGACCGAAATAGGTCGACAAGGCCCGAATCGGGATAATTATCAATATAAATATATCAATTTTCAACTTTTTTTAAAATAAAGTATATAAATTTTTAATTTTTTTATTTGAATATATCAATTTTATCAAAATTATCAATCAAATACTTCTATCATTTTTTTTAAAAAACATGTTCATTATCCTTAAAATACCAAATCACAATTTTACTTTTTTTCTATAGAATACGTAAACTTTAATTTTTTCAAATTGAGTATATCAACTTTTTCAAGATTATCAAAAGTACTTTTATTAATTTTTTCATTAATTGATGACGTATCCAAATACTAAATTATATTTTTTTCATTTGTTGTTATAAGGGACGTTCTCCTTAAATTATTCTATCATTTTAAAATTTAACAAAGAATTAAAAAATTATTTTTAGTTATAAAATTTCAAACTAAACGTACTAAAACTTGCTGTTAGAAAAAAAAAAAAAAGATCAGTTAGGTTTTGGGCTTGAAAATGAAGGAAATACAAATATGAGATTTTTCATCGAAAAAATTAATTTGTGTTTTTCTTCAATTCTCACTTTTAAACCTAACTGAGTTTTTTTTTTTTTTTAACAGCAACCTAATTGATTTTAGCTTGAAATTTTAGAGATAAAAAATAATTTTTTTTAATTATTTATCAAATTATAAAATAGTAAAATAATTCAAGGAGAAAGTTTCTTTCAACAAAAAAAAGGATAAAATTATAATTTCATATTTAAATACGTCATCAATTAACCAAAAAAATGATGAAAATACTTAATTGACGGTTTTGAAAAAATTAACGTACTCAAACAAAATAAATTAAAATTCATGTATTTGATTGAAAAAAAGTAAAATTATAATTTGATATTTTAAGGATACTAGGCATGTCATCGATTAACAAAAAAATTGATAAAAGTATTTGATTGATAATTTTAAAAAAATTAATGCACTCAAACAAACAAATTAAATTTCATGTATTCAATTGAAAAAATAATTAAAAGTTAGTATACTTATAAACACCGAAAATCATTTTAACGATCAATGTTTTTATCATAATTAATAAACACCAATTCTGTTGAATCTAATTGTTAGATTGTCATACTAAAAGAGTTACAAGTTAAATTGAAAGAAGCAAAAAGTTTGGAGACTAATTTGTAAAGTTGAAAAGACACCTTTTGAATGAAAACCAGCACCCCTTATTTCTCGACCGCATGTTGTGTTGGGAAATAAGATTTCTTTATTTTTGAAGAATACAATTCATGTCTTTTTTCGGATTTAGTGAACTTTCTAGACAAATAATGAAAATAATTGTTTTAGTAATTCAAAACTATAAATACAAAATGAATGATCGATAGAAAAATAATTTTTTTCCCCACCTTTTCCTTGCTTGTCTCTGACAAAAAAACCTAACCAAGTTTTTTGAGAGTCTCGTAAAGAATAATCTTTTGTATTACGATCAAATTGTTTTTTTGATAATTTTCTATAATTCCGAAAATGTATTTACTTTAGACCTGATCAACCACTTCATTGTGGAAAAAAATAAAACTTTGAAAATAATGAATTTTTTTACAGTATAAATACATGCATTAAACATCAATTCTCTCTGCACAAGTACATCTAGAATGTTTCCCAAACAGATTCTACCATAAATCAATTGATAATCAATGGATTCAATTAAAAAAAAAAAATCAATCAATAATAACATATTCTATCAATATTCGATCAATAAAGCAACCGGTTTTAAAAAAAAAAAAAATGCAGAAGAATAATTCCATTGCCTACAAGGGATCATAAACACTACCGAAAGACCGAAAATGAACTAGTCTAGCAGATAAGAGATGAGTCCAAGAAGGATCAACTAATAAGAAACACCAAGACAGAACATGAAGGAAGGGCATGTTAGCACATTCCATAAAAGCAATGGCAAGCAAGTCGATCAGCGAAAAGAAAACTCCAGGAAACACTAAACACAGAAACAAGCAGCAGAATAATCAGCAACCATGAAATTGTAGAAACACAACGGACCAGCAGCAGTAAATAGGCTTGTAATGGTAGCAGTATTCCAGAAGCAGTCAAATATGGCATCAAAATAAAAAATCCACATGCATGTAGACACAACAGCAGATAAGGCAGCATTCTCAACAGCTCTGGTAAGTAGAAACAACAGCACTGAAATAACTTGGTGAATAAAAATGGCAACTGAAATCTTGAGGCAAAGCATGGAGAGGCACGAAGTCCCTGAATTGATACTGTATTAAGTGTTTAACTACAAGATGATGTAGAACACAAGCAAAGGTCTGCTTTGGACGGAACATACAATTGAACCAAAATGCAGACATGAAATTGATCGAGGGGTTTTCCTCCAGCTATCTATGTCCATAGCTGCCAACGATTACTCTTGATAATCAACATTAACCAGCGATCTTCATATTCGCTTCGGAAAAACGTATTTTCTAGGTCTAAGATAAGTAATTTGAAAGATTGAGGATAATTACACCACAGAAAAGCCAGGTCCTCACATTGTGCCCCTCTTCTTTCAAAGCTTCAAGAATGCCAACCCCATGCCCTTAGATAGAAATTTCCGACTGTATAAACTACAAATTCTTCATAACCTGCTCATACATCTCTGTTGCTCGTGTTTTGAGCATGGGCGAATGGCAGCTCATTAACCAATGCACGCTATGATCTTGAAAACCACCAACAGGCTGTTGTTACAACTAACAGGTCTGAATATTCATCACTTATCTGCTGTTGTTCAGCAAGTGAGGCAAGTCTGAACATAAAATCCTACAATATGCTCTTGCTGCTTCACAGGCCATTTCAGAGTCGCTTAGCAGTGACATCACTTACACAGAGACAGCACCTGTTCAGTGACCTTTCCTCTCAATTAATTCTATGCAGAGAGAAATGCAAAACATTATATTGGCAGGTTTCAATTTATGAAGGGGTTTGGTTTCATATCATGACCAGTTGACCTCTAATTAGCAATCTCCAGTGATAAATTACCAAAAGCTTCTGCAGTCAGTCTTGAATAATCAACACCCCATTGTCCACTATATTTACAAAACCTTTGCAAATGGATGGATATCAATATGTTAAATTCTCTATGATGCCCAAAGGATGGATCTCTATGTAGCGTCTTCTGTTAACAATCTATCAAGAGCACCTGTCCCACAATCCAGACTACCAACAATCTTGTGCAAGAAGAGATCCCAAGAATCAGCATCCACTACTCTGCTTGCCATGGCCATAGACAAAACCTTATCCATGTCTCCTTCCATTCCCAAATCCTGTAACCCGTCAATCAATAAGGTGTATGTTGACTTATTAGGCAAGCACCCATTAGCCAACATCTCTTCAAGAACCCTAACTCCCTCCTTCACATTCCCAACATTCGTGAACCCCTTAATCAACATATTATATGTAAAAGCATTGGGCCTGCGACGCTTCTCCACCATATCATCCCACAACCTCCCTGCCTCATTCAACTCCCCTCTCTCACACATCCCTGCAATGAGAGTATTATATGTCAAAAGACTTGGAGCCGTACCTCGCTCAAACTCATCAAACAATTTTCTTGCTTCCCCCACTTTCCCCTCCTTACAAAGCCAATGTATAAGCGTGCTCATTATTGCATTATCTGGCAAACAATTCTTCTTTAACATCCTCTTCCACAAATTACAAGCATCCTCCACCTTCCCATCTTCACATAACACGTCAATAACCTTACAACAAAGGGTTGAACTCGGCAAAAACTTCTTATCAAGCATATCATCAATCAAGTTACAAGCTTCACCAGATTTTTTCTCCTTACAATATGCCTCAATCATCACACTGTAAGTAACCTCATTCGGTTCCACACCATTATACTCCATATCATCCATTACCTTAATAGCATCACTCAACCTCCCTTGTTTACAATACCCAAGCATCAAAATCGTACACGTAGTGGCATCTGGCAGCCACCTTTTATCCCAAATCTCACTAAAAACCTTCTCAGCATTAACCAAATCGCCCCGCGAAACAAACCCACCTAAAATTGTAGTATAAGTCACCAAATTTGGAATCATTCCCATCGTGGGCATTTCATCAAACACCTGAAGAGCACCTTCTACATCATTCTTCTTACAAAGGGCCTTTATCAAAATATTAAAACTAACCACATTAGGTAAAACCCCATATTTAGCTCTACAATTCTTCAACGTAGAGCCCACTAAATCATACCTTTTATTCTGTACAAAAACATTCAATAAAGTATTCAACAATTTCACAGAAGGTTGCAAGTTAAATTCTTCATTGATTCGCGTAAATGTTTTGAGGGCTAATTTAGGCTTGCCTGCAAGGCCATAATTACGAATTACAGAGATAAAAACATCGTCGCCACATTTGATGTGTGAGGATTTTCGTGACAGCTGAGAGAGTAAAGATTCTACTGCATCAAAGGAGCGAGCCCGTGCGAGCTTGTCGATGATGGAGTGGTAAGTATCGTGATTATGCGAGAAACCAGGCTGATATTTGCCTGCGTAGTCGAAGATTTGGAGGGCGAGGTCGAGATTTTCTTGCTGGGTAATCATGGAGATTAGGCGGTTTGGGTAAAGGCGTTGAGGCCAAGGTTTTACTGGAGGAGTTACTGTGTAGGAGGTGGATTCTAGGAGTAGTGGGGTTTCGGGATTGGCGGCTATGGTGGTCAGAGTACGGAGGAGAGTGATGGTTGGTGTGATGATGTGGTGGCGGAGATGAGATGGAGCGTGACAGAACATTGCTGTCTACTGTATTAAGACAAGCAGTGTCTTGTTGGCGTGGAGGAGGAGCTTGAAGATGAACTGATTGAAATTCTAGTCAAGCACTTTCCACTTTGAAATTTTTCATTTGGGTAAACCTATTACTTAGGCCTTGTATTTTCATCAATCGATCAAAAAAGCTTTCTATGTTATTAATTTGATTAATTAAGTACATATATTTTCCATTTCAGTCAATTAGATATACTTTTTCAAAATTAGAAATTTATCTCAATCAATTGAGTATTTTTCTTCAAAACTTGATTCATTATTATTAAATTTATTTTTATTTTTATTAATATCATCGCCTATTACAATTTTCATATTGAGTAGTTTTTTTTTCAATTTAAATAAATTACACTCAATTGTTTGAAATAAAAAGTTTAGATGTTCTAGATTGAATTAATAACATAACAGTATTTTTGACAAATTGGAAAAAACCCAAAATGCAAATAGTAGATTCAGCATATTCTTTTCTTTGAAAAATATTTATTTTTTGATAAACTTTCGCATACCAAACTCAATATTTTTAAGTTCCAATTTCTATATATGATAAATAAATACACAAACAAATACAAGTTGACGGAAATGTTGTTGAATAAATTATAAATTAGTTCCTTTAATTTTTAGAAATGAATTAATTAATCTTTCTTGTTTTAAAAATTAATTATTTAATCTTTATATTTTAAAATTTTCTTGTCCCTTATTTTTTTAATTTATTTTGATTTTTTATTTAAAAATATAGAAAGGAAAAAAATAATTAAAAAATTGATAAAAAAGAAATTTTATAAATTAAAATAATACTAAATTAAACATTGTTAACACTGATTAGAGAATTAAATAATTAGTTTTTGAAGTAAAAAATATATATAGTTAATTCATTTCTTAAAAATAGAGGGGTTAGTTTATTGTTTACATATCAGCTGTTATTCCTTTATTCATATATAATAATTATTTTTTTTAAAAAAAAGATGTTATTCCTTGACCTTGTGTAAAAATAATAACATTTCAAAAAGAAATATCTAAGTTTTTTTTTTCTTTTTTGGTCTCAACATGTAAGTTGAGTAATAATAGAATGATAAAACAAAAACAAAACCTTGTAATTTGATTTACATAATGTGGCAAATAAAATGCAGAAAATAGATTTATTTTGGTTATCTAATGTTCGATTAAGTTCAAGTCAACTATCCCAGTTTACAAATCATCAGCAAACCGAAATAACAAAAAAAAATTGCAAACCATTTTTTCTGATAAATTTTTGAAAAAACGATTTTTTTTCCATGTACATACTTGATTTTCAGAAGAAAGAACGAATGAATGGTTGGTTTTTAGACAGTTTCTATTTAGTATTTGATTAATGAGTGGATTATCTCATTTTCAGTTGGTTTTAAGTTTTTTTTTTAATCTAAGTATTTCCATCGCATGATAAAAATAGGATTAATCATGTTTGAAACGACAACGATAAAGTTTAATTTTTTTTAATAAATAGGAATTTAGAATTCAAATGTTACATATTGATTAAAAAAAATAATTCTAAAGTCATTTTACTTACTACTGATTGGTGGTGTTTTAGGCTATTTTTAAAACCTGAAGAAATCATATCAAAAAATCAAGACTGATTTTCCTGGCTTCAGTTGACTCTCATTTTCCTTGCAAAGGTTGGGCCGGTGGGCTCATCCAAAGGCTTGCTCTTGGGTTGCATTAGGCGATCCATCCCCCAAACCAACCCATCGAAGCCACCTTTGCAGACTGCAGCATCATTTATAAATGCTTCTCAAGTCATGACCTTAATATTTATTTTCTTGATTATAACTTCACATAAAATGTATGCCTAAGAAAATAAATATATTTGCAAAAATATTCTTTTTAAAACTAAAATAGCTTTTATCAATGTAATACAATAAAGGAGATAATTTATTTCATAATCGTATATATTTTGTTTTTTCAAAATCGCGAAAATATAATGTTTACTATCCATATCGATGAAGATAGTATCAATTATTGTGATTGAATATATATATATATATATGTTTATGCAGGTTATGATTAAGCTCGAAAGCACACATATTACTTTTCAAGAAATTATATTCATTGATAAAAAAAAAAGAAGGAAAAACTTCAAATTATTAAACTTGAAAGCACATATATATTATTTGTCAAGAAATTATATTCATTGATAAAAAATAAAAAACAAAGGATAAACCTCAGAAGATCTCCCAACATATTTAATTAATTCTCAGTTTCATCCTAAAAATAGAAATTTTTATGAATGATCTCTAATATCTTCAAATGTCTCAATCACATGCACTCTTCTTTCACATCCATTAATATTTAATGCTAATTTTCGTAAAAAAAATAATAATAATAATAATCGATTTTATTGCATAAAATACAAAAAGAACAAAAAATATTGCATCGATTTTTAACCCTCTGACTCAGTCCAGCGAAACCCTGTGGAAATTTCATCAAAATGGTAACACACCAAGTCTCCAAGTTTCCACAACACGGCACAAGATTAATGCCCTTAACTTTGGTCCACCATTTTTGTCTCTACGATGGAAACTTAAAAGGAGAAAGAAAGTCTACTCATATTGCGGCTGCCAGCTTAGTTTGATTTGGACACATGTTCCCTGTTTTCATAGAATCTCTGGACTTAATGCCAAATCATTGAATTTGAAGTGGTCTTACTTAATTAACGTGTTAGAATTTTAAAAATAGTTAACTCATTTACGGCTACATATGTATGTACTAATTTATAGAAATCGATATGAATAGAGGTCTTCGGCATAACATGTTATACAGATTCAGTAAGTTAAAGAGACAGCGTCTTTTATGGAGATTAAGGGACAAACCTTTTGAAAAATCTACAAAATATTAAATCAGATGTATAAATTTGTTTGGTTTTTTTTTTAAAACTTTAATTATAAACATATAAATAAAAGCAACATCACTTGTATTTATAATCGTTACTTAACAAAATTTAATAAAAAATCTTAGAATAATCTTGAAATAGACACACTATTATCGAATCATATAAAACCTTTTTATTATATGATTATCTTTATACTACATTTTTTTATTTTATTTAATTTCTAATAGTCAATAATAGGTCTGCTCTACTAGAGATGATAGATAGATAAACTGCATGAAATTAAATCAATATCAATTTTAATTAGTTTTCCGATGATTTTTTTGTCAATATACATGATTTGAATTTTAAAATCGTATTTATTAAGAACGATTAAATTTTATCTCTATATTGAATATAATTAATTACATCCCGAATGTGAAATGAAGATATTTGAGAGGGGGAAAAAAATCAATATCAGCTTTGAAGATATTTTCTTGCTGCCTCACGTTCAAGGAAAATGTTTTGATGTTGATCATCATCACCTTCTTGGAAATTATATAAAGGGATTAATTGTACTACAATTGATGGAGTTGAACTAGCTTGTTTGACTGCCTCCATCACTTACTACAAGATCTTGTTAAAGATTTGACATTATTAATGGTAGACGTGAATTTTACATGCTTTTATTTATTTTTATTTTTCACATTGCCATTAGCAGGACACGTGACATCATTTTTTTAGTTGACAGATGTAACTATCAATGAGTTCCACGTGTGAAAGATTGAACATATTCATGGCTCATGCTCTCTTGATGCCCGTGGTTACACTTCCCATGTGTTTTCCCAAGTTACGTCTGTGAATGTAAACGCGACAGTTGATAATGGTCAAGAAATAATTAAATGCATCCTTTTTTTTTTTTCTTTTCTAGTGATTTGAATGATTTAATTTCAATACTTAATTTACTAGTATTTTCTTGTCCCAAAAATATTGTTATGTTTAACTTTTTTTATATATAGATTAAAAATATCATTAAATGATATGTTAGGTCATTATTTTTTATCCATATTTTTTAAAAATACTTGTAAATCTCGTACAAATGAGCTATACTATAAGAATCAGTAACAAAATATTCTCCGTTAATTATACATGCTCTTATAGCAATAACATATTTTCATTCCATATTTGTTCATATAATCTCGTTAAAGGAGGAGCCAAGGGGCCATTTTCATGGTTAGTAATAGTAGCTATATGCCGGCCGTTAAATCAAATTCGTTTGTCTAGGACTAGATCTTGATATCAGTTCATAAAGATTAAAGTCAGATCGTGAGCTTATAATAACCTAAAAACGTAAACTATTAGATGTTATTTTAAAATATAATTTATATTATTTTTTTTAGATTTAAAATTTTTACAAGACTATTATTATTTTGTAAATAATTTTTATTTTTAATTTAATTAAATTATAAGGTAAAATTTTAAAATATAATTTATATATTTTTTTAGACTTAAAATTTACATAGGACGATCACTATTTTATGCTTAATTTTTTAATTAAATTAAAAAAATATGAATGATAAGATTTGAACTTATAACTATTAGATTATTAAAATTCTAGATATAATGTAAAAAAATCATCTCAATTAAAAAATTTGAGTTATAAGATGAGATCTTATAATACAATTTATGTTATTTTCCATCAAACTTTAATCAGTAATATTGTAATAAAATATATGACTTAGGTATTTTGTGTTTTTGACTAGACAGTCAAACAAAAATAAAAAAACAGAACAATATTTTCTGGAGAGAGAAAGAGAGAGTATTCTTTTTGTGGATTTATACGTTCTTCACTTTCTTGTAATGGAAACCAGAGATGCACCTTCATTTGACGCAAATTGTTGAAATTGAATAGGTCTTAACGTGTCAGAAATATAAATAGTTCCTTCTCATGGTATTGAGGCACGACTCTCTTCTATATATTTATATGCATGGGAATTAAGCAATTATATATCTAGAAGTATCTTTACCTCAGCACCTTCACGGAAAGTGTTTTCTAATGAAGATCACCTGAATTAATTCATGGATATAATTAAATAATTAAGTGATCTGTGGGTGGATTATTAACTAATTAATATTGGATTGATTTAGTTTTGACTGTTTTAGTCTACTTAATTACTATAATATTTTAATGGGAGATGGAAGTGACTTTGACGTACATATTATAGAATAATTAGGTTCCATGGCAATTAATTAATCACCTTGAAACATTTAATAATTAAAAAATATCCGTACGTACAACTCTAGTAATTAACTCGTTTTATAATGTTTTTTGTTAGATTTTACATCAATTAAAATTAAATTTATTATTTTTTAATATTGGATCAATACTGGATTACGTTGAACCTTTGTCACTCACATTGCTTAATGAACTTTTCTTCTTAGTTTTTCTTAGATGAAACATTATTAGGTAATTTGGTAGCTTGTCCACTCATAAAGGGCTAATAAGAACTCAAAACAACTAAATTATATAGGCTGGCAACAAAGCAACTCAACTTGAGAATTAATAGTGATTAAGTAGAAGTAAAAAAAAAAATTACTGATTCCAACTCCCTAGACATGAAAGGAGGATGCACGAAGTTAATTTAAGTAACAAATTAATATTGCAAAATGCAAACATTGATTACTCGTGTTTTGGATGAGTTCAATGTGCTTTGGTCATCAAATCATGTGAAAACTTCGAATTCATTGGAGAAATAGCAGCAGTGGTTGAGCAAACTTTGACATAACGAAGAAAAATATGGATTTATGTAATAGGTTTTTTTAATGTTCTTATGAGCAGATGTTCGTTTATTTTTCGAATATGATAAGGCTTATTTCAAACTCGAGATAGAAAAATTTGAAAACAAAAAAATGACGTTGTGATTAAGTACATGCACATCCACATAACTTAACCACCTATATTGTACTAATGATTGATAATTATAATGTTAGAATAATAAATTAATACTTTTATGAGTGTGTTCAGATTTTTATTAAAATTAAATAGATAGTGATGAAACTCGAATCTAAAACCATATCATTTAACAATAAATACACCGATAAAAGAATTAAATATATAGAAATTCTTATCCATATTGGCCTTTTATTTTTCTACAAAAATTTTTGAGTCATGTTTTTTTTTTTTTTTTTTGGCTGAAAAAATGGTTCATGTGTTGTTCAACCTCTATGTATGAAGAAAAATGATAAATATGGGATGGAGTCCCTTTTATGTCGAGGATAGCATAATAAATTAAGTTTTAATAAAATTAATATTCTATTTTGATTGTTCTCAATTAGTAATTTATCATATTAATTTGAAAAATAAGAACTTCAATATTTTTTCATTGCTTTTTTTATTTATTTATCATAAAATTAAAAAAATTAAATATAAAAATCTAGTGAGGTCAAGAGAACGTCAGGAAGAGATGGAATCTAAACGTCACGTTCATGTATGTCGTCAGCCAGCGAGGAAGCATCTTAGAAGATTCGTGATTGCTTGTCTCCATGTTCTTCTCTGACCTTCAGTTTCCGTAATCCTTAATCTAATACTATTAATTAGATAACATTAATTAATTTGTTTTCATTTCCCTTATGAAAAAGTCCCATTACTTGTTCGAATATTTTGAATAATTGCAACTTGTTTTTATTTTACTTGTAATTAAGTACATTTCTCCCATGTGTTTTTTGTTACGAATTGTCAGAAGAAAGATTGATTCGTATAAACCTTGAAATATTTTATTCGAAATATTGTTTTTATATAAATTAAACTTGAAAAGGTTAATTATATGCATAAATAAATTAATCTTATTTTCTGGCAGGTAAATGTTGATTTGTAAACTAGATTCACGATTCGATTCTTCCGACTAATACTCATGAAAATCTTTTCTTAAAAACCTAAAATTGTATATTGAGAAGTATTCTTTATTCATACTCAAGAAAGAATTATTCTCAAAATACATAAAATCTGATTTAAAAATATATTTATTGTTGAAAAAAAAGATATTATTTTCAATTTAAAATCTAAATTATCAAATTAATTACATATCCAACATTATATACAAGTTGTTCTCTTTTATATATATATATATATATATATATATATATGTCAATTAATTTTGGACGAATAAATCAACTCATGAATTTTCGTGTAATGCGTGTTATTAATTTCGGCTCAAGATGCTTTTTGTGAAGAATGAAAATGACAACATTTTCCAGTTGGTTCAACATTCAATGACTATTGTGATTCTTGTTATAAGGTCATGCATGTATAAATATATTAAATACTTATGATGTATTTATATTTTAGCAGACACATTTAATTTGTTTTTTTTTTCTCTCTTTTCTAGTTAGTATGAAAAAAGTTTGAATTTTTTTTTGAAAGAAATGAAAACACAAATTATATTAACTGAACTATATTTAATTACGGCTTTTCATTTGTTAATTACTCCATATATTGAGCAATTTTTGGCTATAATAGTTTGGCAGACACGTTTATGAGTTAGTGCACGAAACAAATTTTCCTATAAATTAAGGTTTGATTTGCAGCCCAGAGAAGAAAGTAAACTTGTAGAAGCAGTAAATTATGCTACATGAAATGGTCAGCAATTGGACTTTCCTTATTCTTTGAATCAGATTTCTTATGACCAACGACCGGTCTTATCTCTAGATGAAAAGAAAAAGCATTTTCCTCAGTCAAACTTCTCCCGTACTGTTCCTTCTTTCCTTCCATCAGATTCAGCTAGCTAGCCTTCCTTTAAAACCCAAACGTACCTCTTCCCTTCCCTCCTCAGTTTTTCACCTTTCTTTATTTATCTTCACTACTTCTAGCCATTTCAAAACCAACAAGAAATATTAAAAATAATATAACAACTTCCTTGTATCCTTGTCTGGTGGTAGGTTTAGCTGGAGTTCAAGATTAGCCTTTTATTGCATCATTAATTAGCTTCAGAATTTGTGCCCTTTGTCAATCTCTCTCTCTCTCTCTCTCTCTCCTTTTGGTTTGCACCTATGTTTCTTGGATTCTTATTGGTCATTCTATCAGCTTCATATATGCTTACCTGCTATTTTATTTCCTAGGATATGAACTAGAATTTTGTTTTTTGTTTTTGTTTTTTTACTGGAATAGTTGAGCAACCGTATACTACCTAGAGATATAGCTAGCTTACTTTGGGAAGTCATCTTTGTATAACATTTTGCTGCCATTATAAATGGCTAACATGGGAGATTGGGAGCAAAAGAGTCTTGTAAATGAGCTAACATTAGGGATGGAGACGGCAAAGAAACTTCAAGGCCATCTCAACTTGCCATCTTCTTCAAGAGAAACTGGTGAAATATTGGTCCGAAAGATCTTAACTTCCTACGAAAAGGCGCTTTCGATGCTAAATTCTAGTGGCTCAGTGGGAGAGTTACATCCAGTAGGAGGAGTTGCCATTGCAAATTCTGAATCCCCGCCTTCGCTTAGCGGAAGTCCTCGGAGTGAAGACTCTGACCGTGAAATGAGGGACCCTAGGCAAAAAGATCATGGCTCTAGCTCAAGGTAGATAGATATTTGTATCATATTAGCTTAGCCTATTTAATGCTGTTTCTATGAAGTATTTTCTGGCAGTATAAGATTGTGAATTCTGGAATGGTAATTGATTTCAGAAAGAGCATGCCAAGGTGGACAAGGCAAGTGAGAGTTCACCCAGGAATGGGGCTGGAAGGGCCTCTTGATGATGGATTTAGTTGGAGAAAGTATGGGCAGAAAGACATTCTTGGAGCCAAATATCCAAGGTGGGTATCCTTTATCCTTTATCCTTGCTAGAATTGGTTTCTATTCATGAACACACACACACACATATATATATCGAGTGCAAAATGACATTTTTTTCTTTACAGCTAGATTCACGTGCAAATCATAGCAAGTTCCTTTCTCATACAAATTTGTGACTATTTCTTAGTTATAAGATAGCTCCGAAGTAGGTTTTTTTTTCCTTTTCAAAGTAGTTGAGGAACCCTTTATTAATTCGAAATTTCTACTTGTGGCTCCTAGGCTTCTTTCTTTAATTTCCAAGCAGCTACAGCAATCAAACGCATGCTTGGATTGATTAGTCAATGATTTCACACTAAATAATGGCACCAAGCTAGAAATTGGATCATAAAGATCGCATTATCTGATTATACTAGAGTGTTTTTCCCTTCCATATATCATATGCTTATTAATTAGCCAGTGTTTGATTCATTACGTCGAATGTTCATGATCTTTTCTGCTCTTTATCTTAACAAAAGGATTATATTTGTGCCCGCAGAGGATATTATAGATGCACTCATCGAAGTGTTCAAGGTTGTTTAGCCACAAAGCAAGTGCAAAGATCCGATGAAGATCCAACCATCTTCCAAATCACCTACCGCGGAAGGCATACTTGCACTCTAGCCTCTCATGGGAAGCTTCCTCTTCCACAACTCCAAGAAAATGAAGAAACAAACACCAATATTACCACAGATATTCAACAGCACAAGCCCCACCAAGAAAATATTCCACAATCACAAGAACTACTCTTGAACTATCGCAGAGGGCTTAAAGTCATAACAGAAGACTTAGACTCTCATGGTCAGCCATCATTTCCAGCTAATTCATTCCAGTTCCCTTCTACATCCAATGTCAGGCCTGAAAACAATTCTGTGTTTTCTCGTCCCGTGGAGGAAAACAGTTTCATGGGGAATTTTATACCATCATTTACATCTCCTTCTGGTTCTGCCACAAACTATTATTCCGTGTCTCCAAATAGGATGCAACATAGCTTTGGAGGGAACCAGAATTTTCAAAGTTCTGATTCTGAGCTTACTGATATCATCTCTGCTGCTACTTCAACTACTACCTCTCCTGCTGCTGGATTAGATTTCCCTTTTGGGAATGTTGCGTACGATCCAAACTTCACATTTGATAATTCAGGATTCCTCCCTTAGGTCCAGACTTCACATGTTAACTGTATTAATTTCCTTGGAATGCTAATTAATAATTGTATTGTTCTGATCAAGTCAGTCAGTAGTATATAGTTTTGTTTGATTGAATAATTTTCTTTCAAATATCTCCAATCATTGTTCTTTTTAGATTTTTGCCACCCCTTAGCAAAGTGTGTAAGTGCATCATTTGGTTAAAATTTAAATGGAATTATTTATATTTTTGGTAATTTGAGACTGTTATTTCAAAATTTTAATTCGGTCCAGTCTGATTGATTTAGTATTTGTTTTTTAGGATTTAACTATAAAAATTCATAATTGCGGATCAAATAAACTAATCTGTTTTTTGTTATTTTGTATGGCACCAATATATACACAATATTCACAAATTAAAATTTTAAAGTTAGTTATAATTTAGTTCATATTATAAAACAAATTAAAAAAATTGGACTATTTAATACATTATTCACACACTCCCAATATATATATCTATTTATTTACTGTTTATTTAGACTCATATGCACTATATAATAGTATTTTTATAATTTTTAAATTGTTATAAAACAAATTAAAAAATTTAGACTATTTACTATTTATTATACTATTCACACACTTACAAAATATTATTTATTTACTATTTATTTAGACTCATATGCACTATGTAGTGATATTTTCATGATTTTTGAGAAGCATTGAGGCATTTATATCTAGGTTTTTCTTAATATTTAACTTTGGTCTCTAACATTTTCAAAAATTTTATTTTGATCTTTAAATTTATTTATATTGTAATTTAGTCCTTAAAATGAAGATAGAGGAGAGAGAAAGCCAAGAACTAGCTCTGATTTTAGCTTCTTTTATGACCGATCTTGCATTTATATTGTTTATTTTGGTGAGAATAATGTGTTTATGGTGGTTTTAAGTTATAAAATAATTGAAAGAAAGAGATCGAATCTCAAATAAAATAATTTTTTTGACATATATATATATATTGTTGAATATGGCTTGAATTTTATAGGCTAATGATATATTTAGTCCATTATTTTTTTCTTTATAAATATGATGTATTTAAACCATCTTATATTTCTATTTAGAAAATAGAATAAAGGACAAAGACTTTATATTGAGTCTTTAGGATTCTTGTATTCAGTGAGCTATCAAACTAATAAGACTTCCCTCTTACCTTTGGAGTAAGCAATTTATGAAAATACGTAAATACTGTGTAGTGATAATTTGTTTAGATTTTATCTTTTGGTTATTGTCTGTGATATAATTTGTTTAATTCAAGCTTTTTGAAAAACCTTAAAATTTATCTTTTTTTCCTAGAGTTTTTAGGACTTATAAAAGCTTCAAATATTTATGTTTTTTTTTCTTGATTTTTTTATTTAAGAATTTATCTCAATTCTGTTTCTGCCATATAGTATAGTATTTAATTAAAAATCAAATTAATTATACTAGTATCATTATTAAATACAAACTCCTATAATTCTATTAATTATTTACCTATATAGAATCTAGCTTTAAAAAAATTATATATATATATATATATATATATATATATATATATATATATATATATATATGTGCGCTTTCATTCTCTAACGACCAGATAGATTCTCTCTCTATCTCTATTTTTCTTTATAAATTTAATTTAATGCAATAAGTGGATAATCCCCTAGTTAAGTCCTATATTCAGAACCTCACCACTCTCTCTCTCTCTCTCTCTCTCTCTCTTTCCTCCAGGGAGCTAACTTCAAACTCACAGGACAAAACGAATTTGGGTCCAAATACACATTCTCGATTTTCAGAGAGGCCGACAGGACTAGCCCTCCTTTTGTTCTTTGGTCCCCTTAGGACTGGCCTATGGAGCAAAAACAACTCAATCATATTTCCGTCGTTGGAGTTTGGACTACCATTGGGTCCATTATTGATTAAGATCTTTTTTCTGATAAGATTATTTAGCCATAAAGAGAATTTGGACAAGGCCTGGCCAGGTCCCAAGCTTATAGCTTAGGTAGCCTCAATGATTGCTAGCTAGGCACACCAAGTTGGTCTAATTGCACTCCAATGACAGCACAACGGTAATACACTTCTTTGAAACAAATAAGAGCCAGAAAAATAAATTCTCAATTCCAAGTGCAATCAAGCCATTTCCTGTGGTCCATGACCCATTAAGGCATTCATGCCATTTCCGGCTATATCTATGCCCTACATATATAATGCTATTCAAATTCAAAAAATATATATATTTTGTCAATATATTGAGTTTTGGATTGGGGTGACTTTAAAGTTTGAAACCATATATAATAGTATGTGTTCCCATAAAAATTATAAAATCTAAGTCCCTTTTGTTCTTATTCGATGAAAGAGAAGTTTCTATTCATATAATAATAATAATCATAATTAAAGATAAATAAATAAATAAAACATTGATTTGGTATTAAGTTTTGGCGAGTAAATTATAAATTAATTCCTTGTGTTTTGAAAAAAAGAATTAATTAGTACCTTTTGTTTTAAAAACTAATTGTTTAGTCTTCATATTTTAAAATCTACTTGTAATTTAGTCTTTTTTCTCTTTTTTAATTTAGTCTTTTGAAATCTACTTGTTTTAAAAACTAATTATATAAAGGTTTTATATTTAATGTGTTTGTATATCATTACTCATCTAAGAATTCCATTTCCCAACTCCCAAATTTAAGTTTATTTTTAGAAAATAGATTTTTACTATATGGTTTATTGCAAGGTCCATTGGGTTTTTTGCACTGTAAATTAGAAGCCCATATAGTTCACCTCTATACTCTAAATTTTATTTTTGTGATCCATTCAAAATTAATCTAGAAAATTCAAACATAAAAGATACATTAAGTGAATTTTAAAGAACTTTCTTTTCTTTTTCTTTTTTTCCTTAAAAAAGAAAAAAATAAAAGAACAATCTTTCATGCGACAAAAAGGCTAAGAAATTATTAGATCTTGATTAAGAACCCAACATGAATTCTTAATTGCCCAAAAAATGGACCCAAATCTAAGCTCTCTGTCCTGAATCAGTTAGGCCATAGATAGGGGGCTCCCATTGAAATCATTATACGTTTAGAAAATCATGCCATTTTATAGGGTAGTGTCGCCCTACTCTAAAATTAGCTAGGCTGACAATAAGAATGTCGACACCCTATGCCCCTAAAGGATATGCAGATTTACTTAATGTTCTTTAAAGCTATTTATGATTCAATTTCTATCTAGGAGAAATTAAATCTATTGTAAATTAATATTGATTGATCCCATTCCTAGTATAGCCATCGTAGGGGAATGAATTTATGGACAAGCACATCAGATTATGAAGCAGTCAGGCTTATACATCAAGCCATTAGAAATTCAGTGAGTAAATTATAAACTTTTTAATTTCGAAAAAGGAATTATTTAAATTTTTTTGTTTTAAAAATTAATTATTTAATTTCTTAATTAAGTTTAACCATGTTTAATTTGATATTATTTTACTTTAAAAGAAAGTCTTCTTTCCTTATAATCTTTCCATAATATCTATTTAATTTTTAATTTTTTAATTTTTTTAAACAAAACAATAACAAAAATTAGAAAAAACATAAAATACAAAAAAATTAAATAATTAGTTTTGAAATAGGAGGTTTTCTCAAAACTAGAGGGACTAATTTATAATTTACTCCACTTCGTCATGTGCAATTAAGGCTAAAATTTTTTAGATTATCTCATCGTTGTGCATAAAGAAATTTAAATATGTTTTGTCACTATAGTTTCAGTAATCACTCTGTGCTTATGGTGAAACATTTCCAATAACAATGAATGGATAGCTGAATTATAGCCTTGTTTATTTATGTTTCTATGCATGCTAGTTATTTTATTAATCAATGGCTCAATAATGAATCTTATAAAGATTACTCAATAATGAATTAATCTTATGTAATCTCTCTTATTTTAAATTTCCCACCCATTTCAAGATATGAAGAATTGAATTCTAATTTGAAAATTGAAATGGCAAGGTAAGTACTCTCATTTTTAACCAATGAATATTTTAAATTTCCCACATCATTTTGATTCTAAAAATTCACATCCTCTTATATACAAGCCTGTAATTTATCGATTGGAATGTTGTTTCGAGAAAATCGAACTATTTGACTGTAACATATACTTCATTATTGTTGCTATCTACTACTCAGCTATATATAAAAGCATGTGGAACAGGAGGAGCTAGGCATGTACCTACACAATAGTGAATAGACACTAGAAAGACATGAAATTGATTGATCATGAAATGGAAATTGAATTCATAAAATGAAAAGTTTGAGAAATTGAGAATGCTCAATTAATACAAAGGTCATCCTAGCTATAGCTAGCTACAAGAAGTCACGACTCCTCTACAATTACATTAGTTAAATTATATAGGAATGCTTGTAAATGCCTTCCTCTACTTCTTTATTACTACCCTTTTAAAGAAAGATGAAGAAGAGTTGTTAGGTTGGCACTTGGTGGACTAGCTAGCGGAATGTTTGCTGGATTTGTTGAGCAAGTTCCTCAGCACTAAGTTGGCATTCAATTCCAATCTGTGAACAACGAAGTAGCTTCCAATCATTAGCGTCAATAAATTACTACTACTGTAAAATCTAAATTTAATTGAGCACAAGGAGCCAAAAAGAAAATCCTTAGTGAATTCAAACTCAATGAAGACAAATGGCTAGCTGCAAAGATCCCTAGTTTTCAGTAAAATTAATGTTGTGGGTTTCAAGAGACATGCAATAAACTTCTAAGTCAGTACAAATGTATGGTACAGTTAGGTGCTTTCTCACAAATGGACATGAAATTACTGCTATACAACCACGACAAATTCTAGCCATTTTTACATAAATAATTAATCCCCCAATTAATTACTCAATTGTCATGTCCTTCTCAATGCAAATGTACCATTTTAATTATTTTTGCCAAGAAAATTGAACATGAAATAATTAATTATCATTTCATACGGTGACATTCCATGTACTTTTGGTCACATGCAAACATTTTCCTTTTCTTCCGCTAACAAAGGCAGAGAGAGAGAACAAAACTTGATGAGAGGAATCGGTATGTCTGTCCTCTTTACAACTAGTTTACGAGGCCTACCTGGTGGATAAATTCTCCTTTTTTTATCTTTTCCTTCTTCACTGTTGATTTGCTATTATAAATCAAAAGATAATTAAATTGGTGCAAGAAATTAAAGTTGGGGGAGGTGACATCTTTTACCTTGATCGTGAAGGAATTAAGCATAGTTTCATGATCCACTGTGCTAATGCTCACATGTAGAATCTCGAGGGCAAGGTCTTCAAGGGCAGAAATTATTTTCACAGCTTGACCAGGAATCCGAGGTGATACTGTCTTCAACAGAACATTTGGACCAGAGAACTTAACCTCAACATCAGCAATTGCTGACTTAGAATTCGCGACGAGTTCGTTGACGTTGTCATTAATGGAGGAGGAAGAAGATGAAGTTGGAGATGGTTCGAGTGAGTTAGCCATGGTAGGAGAAAGGTAGCCTTGTTGCAATCTTGGCTTGTAAGGGCTACATGGTTGTGGAGTTCTTGGGCTAATGGGCAAATTAAGTATAGGACTTAGTGGTGGTTTTCTAGGGCTAAGTGGTGAGGGTCTTGGACTTGAAACTATCCTAGGGCTAAGAACTTCACTATAAACTTTCCTTTGCTTCTTGGCTTCAAGTGATTGCAGAACTTGCTGCAACTCATTGATGTAATCAACAACTCCTCCAATTATTGATGCTTGGTCTCCCTAAACATTGTAGAACAAGAAGAAAGAAATTAAGAAAAGAAACAAGATGTAGCAGAACATCAAAAGGAAAGAAACAATACTCCCAAGTTCAAAAAACTTACTCGTTTGACATAGAAGCAAGGCATGAGGGACCTTAAAACGGACAAGTGCTCATTCATTTGCTTTCGCCGGTTGCGTTCCACTGTAATATGAGACATACGGTGCTGCCCATCTGGATTTACTTCCTGATCCGAAGAAGCTGCGGCTGATGCTGAAGCTGCAATCTTTTGTCTCTTACTTTTTGGTGAAGTTTCAAGCTCATTATTGGTCTCATCAAAATCTTGCAAAGCACTAGAAGATGAAGACTTTTGTGAGACTAACCGCCTCGTTTCTTCGCTTTCTTTTGAGCTAACAACAGCTTCATCTAATGGTGTCACTGGAGGAAAATCTGTTACGCTGTCTAAACACTCAAAAATAGCAAATAGATCATCTCCATCAAAGGTAGTGTCGCCGAATTCTGGTTGTACTTCTTCAAGAAAATCAGCCAAACTCTCACTCATTTTAACCCTACGTTTGGCCTTTTCCTTTCTTGAAAAAAAACTGACCTTTTCTTGTATTTTCCCGGGAAAGTGATGGAAAAAAAAATGAAGGGCTAAAGGAGAGAAGAGAGAATCATGAAGCGGAATAATAATAGGCAGATGATAGCAGCCATGAAATCTGCGAGTAGTATAGTATCTTGTGAGATTGTCAAGATCAAGAAAATGATGCCAAAAGGAGTAAATATAAAGAGGTGATGTGAAAGGGACTAAACTATCACCATCAAGGCTATCTTTTTATGTTTCTTCTGTGAAAGTTAGGTTCATCTTTGCCGTTTGTTTCTGGGGATCGATCTTACGGAGATTCAGGGAGCTATAGGGCAGAAACTTAGCACAGAATCCCAAGATAACACATGCAAAGCCAAAAGAACCGTGGAAACTCAAAAACAAAGAAGAGTGCCCGTTAGAGAGAGAGAGAGGGAGGGAGGGAGAGAGACAAGGAGAGAGAGTGGGAATGGGGGAGAGAGAGAGAGGGGGGATTATATAGATGAGGATGTCAATGAAGAACTGTTGAGATTGTATTGAAAGAATAATTAAGGTTTCGTGATCATTCTTGAGGCTTATTATATTATGTCATGAAATTTCAAAAATTTTCTCCATTCTATCCTAGGGGAATGGCATAAATGATGTTACCTCAAATGGAAATTAATAATGGCTTTGGTGGATAGGTGGGATTAAAGGTATAATTTTTTTTTTAAAGATTGTACTATAGAGTAATATAAAATCATATTTTAGGTCTCATTAAATAATTTATTTATTGAAATGATTATTTAATATGATATGAGAGTTTTGATAATAAAACGATCACAAAATTTAATAATCAAATTGATTAAAAAAAAGAAAAAAAAACCTTATATATTGCGATATTATTAGGATAGAAAAAATAGTAAATTTAATTGATGTTTTCTAGAATAGATTTATTTATTTATTTATTTTATATGGAAAAGTTGGAATTCGAAACTTTTTAAAATAGTGTGGCTGACAAGTTCATTGACTAATGTAACATTTGATTGGTTGTTATAATGAATGATCTGTTAAGTATTATAGTTGATTAATGTAAGATTTGATTCACATGATTTATTAGTTAGTCCACATTAACCAGGTATATACAATATGGAATAATCTTGGCATTTTTATTTTTTGGTCGATTTCTTATTTACTGGATGAAATTTAGAGGTATGAAAGTTTGAAAAAGATTTTATATTAGCATTCTCATTGAGAGAAAAAAAACTAATTAATTTCTTTTTGCAACATTTTGGTGTGTCTAAATATTTTGTACAAAGAAATTAATGGTGGAATATCAAGGAGATTTTCCATAACCAAACATGCTTTGACTTTTTTATTCAAAAAAAAATTATTAGGAACTGCTGGCTTAAGATTGGAAGAAATATATGATCAATTTTATTGAGTTTATTTAATTAGATAATGGAAAAAATTTATGCCCCTGATTCTTGACAGACGTTGGTTGGTTTAAATTGAAGACGAATTGTCATTTTTGAATGTGCTAATTGTCAGGTTGCGGAGCTTGGCTTGTCGATTACTGGTTAAAATGGAACCAGCCGCCCGGCCATGGAGTAAATCTGAAACTATATTTTATGACATCAAAAGGACCTACTAAATAGTACATGAATTTATGTCACACACATTGTTTAAATATTTATTGTAACACAATTCTCAATATAAAAAATTATATATTGTGGCAGCGGTTCACCGGTAAAAATTGGAGTGAGTACATATTTTTTGTTCCTACCAGGAATGCGTAATTTCGTTTAAAACTCAGAGTGAGTACATAAGTTTTGTTCCTACCGCACAAGGTTGAATGCTTATTTTCTTTTAGAGAAAAATATGAGATGTGTCATGCATCTCGACATTTAAGATTTAGGTGTTGTAAAAGAATAATATAAATTATATCATAAAAATTTATTTTATATTTTAATTTTTGAATTAAAATAATATTAAAGTTTTGATAACCATATAGTTAAAAGTTTAATTTCTACTATTTTTATTCTTTTTAATTAATTAAAAAGAATTAAATATAAGATAATATAAGTCGAGTATAAGTTTCAAACCTAAAGAGTTTCTCTTTTAATTAATTAAAAAGATTGAGCATCGTATGACCATGTATAATTTTCAAATCAAAAAAATTTCATTTGAGAGCTTGTGTTTAAAAATAATATAAATTATATTTTATAATTTCCTCTAATAGTTTAAGTTTAGTTTAAATTTTTGGATTGAAATGTTTTTTTTTAGAAAGATATTCATTACTAAAATTTTTAATTAAAGTTTGAATTAATGTAAATGATTTTTTTATTGTAATTGTTAAAAAACAAATCAAGCAAGAAGATAAAAAAAAAAAAAAAAAAAAGAAAGAAAGAAAGAAAGAAGAAGAAGAAGAAAACAAAAAACAATCACATAACACGAAAATTACATGGTTCAAATAACCGTGCCTACTCCAAGATTGCATTAGGAGTTCTTATTAGGTTTTTTCAATTAACGACTAAGAATATAAGAGATATTATTTGTAGTATGGACAGCTAGGATTATTAAGAAGAAAATCCTTATGAGCCTATACACCTAGCCCAATATATCTTGAGCCTATACAATTAGCGAGACCGTCGTGTTGACTATGTATAGCGTACTAAATTGCATTCCATATTCATATTAATCTCCATAACTTAATAAAAAGGTAAAGAAGATGAAGATAATTTTCAACTTGTATCTCTTAATTTTATTATGTTTTGAACATGGTAGAATGTTGTGGCAACAATTTACCTAGCATGTGCTGATTGCCTTCTTGAATGGGAGCTAATGAAGCATTGTGAGATGAAAGATAATTAGGTGCAATTAGCTTAAGCTTAAGTATTCTTTAATTTTTTTAATTTGACCTTTCCAAATTATCTTATACCAATACACTTTAAGAAATTCTGTATTTTCTTGTATAAATTCATCATATACTATGTCACAAGATAAAGAAAAAAAATGAAAAGAAAAGATGTTAGAAAAAACAACATAGAAAATTGATATTTAAGCGTTTATAATAGTTAAAAGTCATGGAAATTATATATCACGAAAGTTTTTCGGAAGATGAGAAGCTACCAACCACTTGTTTACGACATTTACCTCCTCTTGTAACGTTATGCTCTAATTTATTTTGAAACTATTTTAATCACTTCGTTTTATTCATGTACTTGTTTCATACGAGTTTCAATCAAGTCTTTAAAAAACAAATCAATTTCAACTTCAGTTTCACTTGATATATCAATAACAATTTTATATTGATATAGATGAATATCAAATAAAACATCTTACTTTATTAACTAGTTCAATGGTTACTGAACATTGAACTAGAGCACTGTCCTAAAAGCCCCTGCATTAGTGAGATTTTGTTCCTATGAAAGTTCATTTCAATTGACAAGTAAATAAAAAAAGATAACTAACGAGTTATCTCCATCCGAGAAACTATGATAAGATTTCAAAAGAGACAAGAAGAATTAGAAATAAGGTTTATCATTTTTTTATCTCTAACTCTGCTAATTTTTGGTCACTAGATTGATAGCGTGAGTAATGTTTAAGACTATTGACAATCGATCTTTTATGACTTTTGTGCATGGCTATCTAAGTTTTTTTTTTTTTAAAAAAATCATAATGACATGTGGTTACGTAAAAAAGTATAAACAGAGACTATGTGACAACGGGATCTTGTCGAATAATAATAAAGTCATTGTATGATTTTTAACAATCATATGAGAATGATAAACACTTAAAATTAAAAGATATTTTTTTGAACTCAAACAATAATATCAAATTATAATAAAGAAATTCTGGATTTTCTTGTATAAATTCATCTCATACCATGTCACAAGATAAAGAAGAAAAATGAAAAGAAAAGATGTTAGAAAAAACAACATAGAAAATTGATATTTAAGTGTTCATAATAGTTAAAGTCATGGAAATTATATATCATGAAAGTTTTTCGGAAGATGAGAAGTTACTAACCACTATTTACGACATTTACCTTCTCTTGTAACATTATGCTTTAATTTATTTTGAAACTATTTTAATCACTTATGTTTGAGTCATATAATGTTTCATACGAGGTTTCAATCAAGTCTTTAAAAAATAAATCAATTTCAACTTCGAGTGTCACTTGATATATCAACAAGAATTTATATTGATATAGATGAATATCAAATAAAATATCTTACTTTATTAATTAGTTCGGTGGATACCGATCTAGAGCTCGTCCTAAAAGCCCCTCCATTAGTGAGATTTTTTTCCTACGAAAGTTCATTTCGATTGACAAGTAATTAAAAAAAATATAACTAACGAGTCATCTCCATCCGAGATACTATGATAAGATTCCAAAAAAAGACAAGAAGAATTAGAAATAAGGTTTATCATTTTTCTTCTATTTTTCTCTAACTTTGCTAATTTTTGGTCACTAGATTGATAGCATGAGCAATGTTTTGAACTGTTGACAATCGACCTTTTATAACTTTTGTGCATGGCTATCTAAGTTTTTTTTTTTTTTTTTATTATCATAATGACATGTGGTTTTGTAAAAAAGTATAAACAAAGACTATGTGACAACGGGATCTTGTCGAATAATAATAAAGTCATTGTATGATTTTTAACAATCATATGAGAATGATAAGCACTTAAAATTAAAAGATATTTTTTTGAACTCAAACAATAATATCAAATTATAATAAAGAAATTCTGGATTTTCTTGTATAAATTTATCTCATACTATGTCACAAGATAAAGAAGAAAAATGAAAAGAAAGATGTTAGAAAAAACAACATAGAAAATTGATATTTAAGTGTTCATAATAGTTAAAGTCATGGAAATTATACATCAAGAAAGTTTTTTAGAAGATGAGAAGTTACTAACCACTTGTTTATGACATTTACCTTTTCTTGTAACGTTATGTTCTAATTTATTTTGAAACTATTTTAATCACT